CGAGATAAGGTTACAGGCAACCGCATCGGAAAGCGCGTAATGAAAAATCAAAGCTTGGCTATTACGTCGCAATCATAAGGGTCAGACCGGTGCAGGTGTAACAAAGCTTCTTCAAGAGTTGTTAGTCATGTAAGCGTTACGCAACGAAGGCCGGCAAATTGTGTTTTTGCCAACAAATATCAAGGCAAGAATTATCGTAGCGGCGTCCGTTTTTTTTCTCTATCCTCCGGTCGACTTTGATGCGCGCCCACGGAGACGCGAGCGACGTCAATAACCGGAAGCCCGTAATTTCGCTGATCGATCGCCTTTTCAGTGGCGTTACCGTAACCGTCTATCCCCGGGTAGATCGCACCGGAAATCGCACGCGCATCGGCGCGGCGGCGGCACGCCGGATTATCACTCACCGGGGATTTCAAGCGCTATCTTCAAGAAGTTGCGAACAATATATCACGGTGCGCGATGCGCGCGATCGTCTTGCACCACCTATCATTATCCGCGCGATGGCCGGGGATGATTTATCTCGCGGTCTTTAAACTACCGCGTTTCGTGCTTGAATTCTTTCCGCAGACGGTCATTATGCTGCGCGAGACGAAAGTTCGCGGCGACAGTCGTCGCGCGAAACGTTTAAGACTTCACGAAGATTGATCTTTGATTTTAAGTGGCTTTTGAGGAAGAATCCCGGCACTTGACCCACCGCACGCGGAGTACATACACAGAGTCTCCCGAGATCTACGACCTCAATCTCAACGACGATCCTCGGAGCTTTCCTCAAATGAGACGTCGCGCTAATAATTTCAAATTGTGAACCCTAAAAGCCGTAACGAATGCCTTCTTCATCCTTTATTATACTCTCAGAAAAAGTTGATTTTGTATTTGTCGAAAGTTCTGAACGTGTAGTCCGAAGCACCCTGTACTCGTGGATGCGTAGATAATTATCGCAGGAAATTGGGACGCACGATAATGTGAAACGTGACATGCTGAAGATCAACGGCATGTTTATTATAATGTACATTACGAGAGAATGTCCAATTTTAATTTTATAGTTTGCGTTGTGGACGATGTTATGCGGCGGTTTCTCCTCTTAATGGAACAAGATAACGGCACTCTCCTGTGGCCATTATAATCGGTAGCTGGTAATAATATCCAGGGAATAAAAAAAGTAGCGGAGACGCGCGGCGCACATAATATTTTAAAAAGTTTACATTAGATTGGAAGAGTATATTTTCTGATGATCTCGAGACAATCTTTTCTTAGTGGGAACTCGAACAAAATCTGTATTTCGATAATTTTAATAGGCTTTTAACGTTAAACAACGATAATTAAATATGAAGTTAAGATTTCGTTATTGAATTGGATTTAACCGAAGAGCAAAATAAACCTTTTTATCTATACAGCTCTTCACCCAAATTTTTTCTTCTTTGACACTAATTGCCACGTATAATTATGCTTATGAATCTTTGCAAAGAGAGAATCAAATCCAGCTTGGTTAAAAAGCAAATCGTGTACGGATACAGAACGCATTGCTAATACGGACTACTTTTCTCCAGAATTATTTATTAAATTGTTTATTAAATCAGGGAGATTACACGACCTCGTGATATTAAATACCAGCAATTAATTAAAACTTTTAATCGTATACCGATGTCGATAATTACGTTGATTATCACTCATTTATATTCGGTGCTTAATGTATACATTTACCATTGCGATAGAAAACATCGTTATTAAAATGTTCTTTTTTTCCCTCCGCGCAATTATGAAACGAAGTAGGTAAATAAAAACGTGTAAACGCACGATAATTGTCTTAATGTACACGCTATTATCCAACAAAACTCGGAGTGAACCTCGCTAAATTATTTGCCCGAGCGTATTAATTACCGTTGCACGAGATCCCGCCTTGGGATCTAGTCGCAAAGGTATGAATTATTGAAATTTTATTGCGCGCGGCCGTGTTCCTTGTTTCTCGCGAATTAAAGTGGCATCTCGTTGCGAGAGGTTGCGAGGTTCGACCCATCATGAGAGAGGGTCGCGCATACACACGTACTCACAGAAAAGACTGTTCGCCGCACCGTAACACACCTTCGCTGTACTTGCGCCTTCATGGTACGTGAAAGGCGCATTAGCCTCACCTTTAATCGCTCGCAAGTCGTCGACGCGAAGGCGATTACCTGCAGGCCATTAAAACTGTCATACGAGGGATCTTTCGGCGATCAATTGCGGTGTTTACTGGCCTCTTAACGAGACGACATTATCCACGTTCAGCGAGCACGGGGCTCGACGGGCCTCGATTTTAGCGCGCTGTACTTTTCGGTGCTTTCACCTCCTACGTGTCCCGTCAACGTTCGCAACAACGCAAAATTGAAATGATTTGCGTGTTTTAGAGGCAGCGATAACCGATGATCGATGCGCTCGCCGTTACGTCATTACTCGCGAAATTCGATGCGACAGCTTTCTCGACACACGTCCGCGCAAATAAATTCCTTATTGACGATTATTTTTGTTATTGTCCGTCTCAGGGGAAATTTATTAACTATTTATTAAAAATAAATAATTATACAATACTGTATAATTCTCTCAATGGCACATCATGTCGAGCTACACTACGCGATGGTGGCCTAATCGTACGAATCTGCATTATTTCACTATATGTTATTAATCTTGCTGTCCAATTATATTATTAACTATGATTTATCATTATGGTTATACCTTTGCGCACGCTGGCATTAAGATTGCGCGATAGCGCTACGTTGCTACGTCGAATTATCAAAGTTTAAGTAAAGTTGGTTACATTTAAGAACTCCAGTACGACGTGATGCGAAGAAATTTATCGTTGATAATTTGTCAATATATAACGTATTTATGTATTATTGCTTCTTCGTGTAGTAGTCAATAGGAAAAATATTAACATTTCGCGGGATGACTTTCCCTTTCCTAATACGTGATCTGTACAAGATTTTAATTTAATTGATTTTCCAGTAAAAATCTTATGTTAATTAGATTAATTGAGATTAATTTAGATTAATTCATATTGATTTAGATTAATTTAGAATTTTAGATCAAAGGCACAATTACTTTCCTATATAAGTATAGATAAGTCGATATATCGATTTCCATCCGCAAAAGGTTAACGGTGATCATTAAAACTAGACGCTGGAATTCCCTACCCCGAGAAAAGAGATTATTTCCCAAACGTCGTCGGTCACGAAATGTTCGCCGAAAGAACGTCGAGCTAATCTTCCCTCATCACGTGCACGAGAAGCGTGAAGCTACCTAAGGTAACTCACGGCATCGTTAGACACCGCGAAAGCGCCGATTCCGAGGATATAATTAACGACACGAGCCCGAGTCGGTAGCGAAGGATAATTTTTTTCGCTCGCGCGGCTGCGCGCCGCCGCCGCCGCATCGACTCGCAAACGCGGTTAATGGAATACCCGATGCTGCGCTCCACGGACGGACACGGTGGGATCATCGGCGTAGCCACCACGTGCTACATCGAACGCGCCGCAATACGCCGGCACCCGTCACGTCTCAGGATCGCGCACTCGGATTTTTCCCGAAACCCGTTTCGCGCGGCGCGGCATCGCGACCTCGCGTCAGGCTCATGTCCTACGACGTTGCCTGCCTACGCGGCTTGTCGTACGAGCCGACCCGCTCGTTCTCATTCTAAGGTTGATCCTTTGGCAAGGGAAGGATCATAATAGCGAACGAAGAGCGAAAGACGAGTGGTGCACTCGGAACGATCGTTCGATGCAACTTGTAACAATCGAGGATTGTACCGAGGATCTCCATCGAAATGATAATAATCTTTCGACGATCATTTTTAAGATGATGATCGTCCGTTACCTATAACGAATACACCAGTGCAGCAATCCCTGTCATATTTATGTATTACAAATTAAAATAATTCATTCTGAGATGTATAAATAATAAATCAAACTCTTGACATTCGACAGCAGTGATGGTTAATTTATTAAGCGCTCGGTCATTCCTGCTCAGAGATTTTGTATTCCTTTTAAGATCATAGTCAACGTTATTGATTAACGACATTAGACGCGCAATTAAAATACTAGCTATCTTTCAGCCTGATAAATACAACTCTCCTTTTGATAGCGGTACCTACTCTGTAGAACACGGAACGACTGTACATAGACAATAAAGTCATTAAATTTATAGCGCCGAGAGAAAAGCTTAGGCAAACAGTAGAAATGCGCATTGCGTTTTGAATCACGTCAAGACTTCACAATGAGAATATGTAATGCGAATAATAATCGCTCGAGAAGGGCACAACCGGCGATGCAGATCTCCTAAAGCGCGAAAGAGCACGCATTAATAGCCGCTGTATTATTGTAGCCGTGGATCCGAGCATCTGATTTGTTGCCGAGTGTCAGAATAGGATACGTTCGCGGACTCTGAAACAGGTATAACCGTTGCGTAGGCGGGCACGTCACTCGACAGCTGCTCTCTCTCTCCTACCACGTGAGAATTCCGTCTCCGTGCAGCATGGTTGGAAATCTGTTCGCCAATGTGACGATAAGGTATATCAATATAAGATACAAGTATCGAAAAAGGAAAAAATACATTTCTACGCAGACAGGTTAAAAAATAAGAGAAAAAAAACGAGAGCATGGTTAAAAATATCGGTGGACTGTATAAATATCGGTGATACCTGTCGGTGAACTATATACTTAAAATAATAGTCACATAAATATGGTATGTTATGCAATATTTAATTTCCAATCTAATCTTCGTATCTTAAGGTACGAATATTTAAATGTTTGAGCTCATTTTCCGTCAATTCCGCAAATACTACAAAATAAATAAAGAAATAACGTTTAATGACACTATTATTGCATACCATTAGAAATCTTTTTTTACACCAGGCATGTGAAAATACCAACGAGAATTATTTTTGCGATTGCGACATCTAATTATGTCATCGTCAATTCGGAATTCCATTCGGCGTGCGATTCGTTATCGCTGAAAGAAAAAGACAGACTCACGTCGTCCCTATCCTCCCGGAGGTCGTCGTCGGGACTTCCCTCGAGGACGAACCCGACCTCATTGTTGTTTCTCGTGAGCGACGGCAGCTTCCTCGGCGTCAGCTCCTCGCCGTCCGTGTCTCTTTTGCGTTTGCCGTGCTCGTTAAGCGCGGCCTCGTGCTCGTCCAACATGTCGGTGACCATCAGTTCCGACTCGACGCTAGTCGGGGATACGACCTCGTCCAACGGTGACATCGTCGTCGTCCGGTCGGCTTCGCCGGCCTCCAAGACGGACATGGTGGACTCCGGGGTCCGTCGATGATGCCCGCTACCTCGCTCGCCGGAACTCGCGCAGATCCGACGAGATAGTCGTCGGCCGCCGATAGGTAACAGCGAGACACCGACACTGGCCAAGTGAGTACGGACGCGGGCACATAGAGCCTCCTTTCGCCTTAAAATCTCGTTCGTTCCGCGACTAATTATCGGAAGTCACCAGAGATATCTGTTACTTAATCCTGGAATTTCAATGAGCACGCCATCGTCAATTAGAGAGAAATCCAGAGGTCGAACCTGTGCCAGTTTGTCGTCGCTAATTCCGACGACAATGATGTAAGGATGGTTCAATAATGAGACATGAGAGCCTCGTGTATACACTTCGTGTTAAACTTCAATTCGTTCGATACATCTCATGTGTATCTGTTTGTCGTTACGGTCGGCGAACAACGCGTATCATCCGGTAATGATTGTTTAATGAAAGAGGAATGCGCATAAATCCGCTATCGCCATTAAACTTTGGCCAATTACAAAGATCCGATTGTCAGTAATATCCACGTATACGTTTGTCGGGTCGCATCGTCGGCGGCAATCTCCTCTGATTATTCCTTGATGGCATAATGATCGTCCATTAACCGGATAAACTTGGTTTATTTAAGAGAAATATCAACAAGCGCTCGCGCGGTTCAAACCGCAGAGTTGCGCGTCGTTAGCGAAACGTCGTTCCTAAGGACGTCTCTTTTTCAATTGGGTTTCGCCTTGACTCCACGATTAAATTTCCATACACGATCCAGGCATTAAAACTGCCATTAATCGTGGTGATGCGCTTCTTGCGATCATCGCTGTTTGATGATGTCTAATTTCAGTCGCGAACAAAACCATTATACGCGGTTTGCTCATACGCCAGTTTTACAATAAGTGGCACAAATCGGTGGCGCGCTTCACGCCGTGAAACGCACACGTGCGCAACGCCTTCCTAAAGAAAAATTGTCGCAAATGGAATTCTAGTGTACCACTACTATGGCAAGAAGCTTCGGAGTATCCATAGTGACGAGCTACAATGGCACTGCTGCTATAATTGTATGCAAATTCGCTGTCAAACGTAACTTTCACTATCGCTGAAGAGCCATCTCAGGAGGAGACTACGCTGTTCTACCGACGCGCGTTATGTCCCACTCAATTAAGAGAGCTCAAACGTCAACGTTATTTGCGAACAGCTGTCAGCGCGCCGTTCGCCGGACGCTTCGACATCTCGATCGCGCGAGGAATCGCTTTTACGCGGTCGTTTTAGCAAGACTTCGATAACGCAACGGAGCAATGCGAGGCAAGATTCGTGCTGTGCGAGCGCATGTCAATCACGCGCGCAGCGCGATAATAATCTGCAGGATATTATTGCAATTTTGACCTGAAACCGAGTCGCGGAATCTTGTCGCGTTCGTTACGCGACAATCTGTCGCTCGTATGAAATTTTGTCGCGTTAAAATACGCGGGGGACAGTTCAATGCCTCAGATCTTGCGTCACCGATCGCCTCCGGATCGCGTCTCGCGTTCACGCGATGCGTCAGCTTTCGAACGAGTTTCGACGAGGCTCGTTTCGAGACGATCGTCGAGGGGGACGACCTCGCGCCTGCCTGTGCGCGCATTCAACTCTCCGGCTCCGCGCGCGATACGCGCGATCTCTCCCGTTCCGCGTTTTTCCGCTAAAGCAGCTACGATCGCTCGATCGGATACGTCGACGCGTAATTAAGCGGCATCCCGTCATCAAGCACGGATTTTCCTCGGATGTAGTCACGTCGCGCCGTCATTCAGGCCTTCTTTTTCCTTTTCGCCGTCAACAGAATGACTAATGTATTTGAGAATACGTCGGAGGATCAACGACGCGATCTACTTGCGAGTCCCCTTCGATGTATCTTCGGTACCTTCTTGGAAATTATTGGCGTCTCCCAACGGCATCCAGTGGCGTACGCTCGCGTGTATCGAACGACGCAGAAGCCGCGGGCAGCCACCGAAAGTCACGTGGCAGGCCGGTTTCCGCGGTGCGAGTCGGTGCCGGCTTACCGTTCTCACAATCGACAGCCTGGCCGCTCGACCCGGCCCGATTTCACCGCGGAATCAAGACGCGGACGGTGGTCGGTGACGAGATTCCCGTCCTCGATCGATCAACGCGCGCGGCACGCAGGCATGCCGATATCCTCTCTCGGCTTATACGTGAGGCCGATCGTGCTATTCGATCCTGCGTGATGAATCACGCGTATGCGCATCACGCGAATCTTCAAATTCTTCGTCGCGCGAGGCTCCCACCTTCGCCGGCAATCGTGAGATTCGAGCCTCGAAAATCTTCGGCACTAATGGTGGCTGATTCACGCATTACGCACGAATCTTTATCGTTACATAAGGCTTACATAATTCGCCGTTCCGAAAGCACTGCAATCACCACTTTCCGGAATCTGTCTCATTTTGTAGCGGGAGACGTTGGCATCCGTCGAGGGCTCGATCAATCAATCGTAGACCACGTGGTCGTGCACTGTCACGTGGGGGCGGAGAGAAGGAGACAACGACGACGACCACGACGATAATGACGACGACGACGAAGATGATGATGATGTGACGCTAACGATTAATGAGAATCCGTACGGCAGCGGAAGGGGTAGTCGCGGGAAGGGAGCACCGAATCAACCCGCGTTCTGTGAGGTCACTTTCGGAAAAGTCACCCGGTGGAAAGCTCGCGATACGCACTCTTTCAAACGCCCGTGTATTGGTCGAAGGTCGACGAGGACCGATCGGGCGACACCGCGTTGGCGCGCGCGCCTCTCGAGAATGGCCTAGAGGCGAAAAGAGGAAAGGATCTCCTCGAGTGGCGCCGCCCGCGGCAGGAGGGGGCAAGTGTCTCTCTCTCTCGCTCTCTCTCTCCTTCTCTCCTTCCCTCGCTCCCTCGTGCGTGGAGCAAGTGTTGAAGCTGTGCTCCACACGATATGCCCGGTGGACCACCACCATCACCATCGCACGCTACCATCGCGAGTCGCTGGTAGTGCTGGTACCGGTGCGTCCGCAGGCACCAACACCATCAACGACGCCAGCTGTCGCGCTCTCCGTCTCGCTTCATCGCGATCTCGTGGCCTCGTCGACGCTGCTTCCGCGCCGACGAACGCCTCTCGAAGTCTCGAGCTCTCGTCCTCCCGCTCTGCCCTGCCAGGCCCCTTCCGCGTCGTTTCCTCCACCGCGGTGTTCCTCCTCTTCGATCTCGAGCGTCATCTCCGTTCGACCGTAGTCGGAGACTAGACCGCTCGGTGTCTCTCCCTCTCTCGCGTCTCTCGCGTCTCTCGTCGGACGAGAATACGCGGTGTATGTCCCCGAGAGTTGCGGATCGAGAAGGATCGTCGCGCAACTTGAGCGAGACGGACGGAGGGAGGACGTGCATGGATTTAACATTTTCCTTTCGGTGGGACGTTTGATGTTTCGCCTCCCGTTCATCTCGTTGCTTCTCTCTTCTTCCTGGTCGCCGGGATCATCGGGAGGGAAACGATCCCGCGGGGACGTGCTTGTCAATGAACTCGAGTGTATACTTATCTCGGTCCGCGCTTTGTCGCTTCCTTCGCGGATGACGGCCGAGGCTGCGTGCGAGCAGGGCACGCCGATATCTAGCTAGATCAATTTATCGGATATCCGAATCTTTTTGGATTTGTTGGACTGGTTCTATAAGTAAAAGATATCTTCTTTTTTCTGCCGAGCATCTAATTATCAACGCATGTAATTCACAGGAAAAGTCCTTTTATTACACGCTGCATACATCGCGCGATGGAAATAAGCGTATATAATTACCATGATTATTATTACGTTCAACTATATAAGCTTAGTACAAGATCAATTCTGTGCTGCATTTAAACTAATCCGATAGTACTTAACATTACAATTTTATGTAAGTTTCAATAAATTCTATTTTTTTTATTGTAACCATCTTTAATCCTACTTCTCATGTCTCTTACAAAAGAACATTGCGGAAGATGTTAATTTAAACCGTTCATGTCTTCGATGGTCTTTTTTTTTTCAAACAAAGGTAAATAAACATTCAACTTATGCGCCATTTATAATTTTTCAAGTGTATCCCACAATGCCAATCTTCTTTTATTCCGCTGCAATAAATCTCGCCTGGTCACAACTAAATTCTTTCTCACGATACCGAATGGTCACTTCACTTCTCCATATTATACAGGTATTCGTAACGTTATCCTTCCTTTTATTTCTTCTCCCTCTCTTTTTCGTTGGCGCGCCGAGATATTTTCGTTCTGCGTGTCATCAGTTTACGGCGGCGCGTATCTTCACTATCTTCGTAAGAGGTATCGGCTCCTTGTCTTTCCACCGTCGCAGATCGTTACCAGCGATGTATGATCTGTCAGCTGCTCTCGAGCGATCCACGCCGATCCGATCTAACGCTAGATCACTTTGGACCGGTCTCTCTCTTTCTCTCTCGCTACCTTCGTTACCTGCTCTATTAATTAGCTTCGCGCACGTAATGCACGCACGCTTCTCGGTGCTGTGCGAACGAAAAAGTTATAACTAACTGCCGAGCCTAAATCTAATGGCGTCGTAGCTATAGACATAATTTAGTAATCGATTTATTTTCGAGATTGAATGCCGAGAAGTCTCTTGAAGTAAACGAGTTAAGTCAAATAACGACAAAATTAAGAAAAACTCGGAAGTTTATTACACATTTATCCAATAAAGTGAACGATTGAGTACATGACGTTGAAAGCAAAACAAATATATCATATATATGTACGGTATGTCATAACGGTATGTACTGCCAACTATTGAAAATTAAAGATGAAGATAAAGAAATAAAACTGATGTATGTGTGCGTAATTGATAGGCGCAACTGTAATTAAAGGAAGGTAATAAGTGTGCAATCAGTCATATTCTCGGCTTCTTTCCAGTATCGAAACTGACGCACGTGACGTCTCTGCTCTGCGTGTTTCAAGGTGCAATCGATAAAATGCGATTACACAGCGCGTCAAGCGTGACTTATGCGCGACCCGCACCATAGAAGGATCGGCTCGCTCCATCCCCATATACCACACCTTCCACCGGTGACTGATTATTTATACGCGAGTCGGTAAGATAATTGATTCCGATTGATACCGGGTCATTAAGAGCACGTTTAAATCAATGGCGGTCAATATAATAAAGCTGGGCAGGCTGGATCGCGTCGATCGGCATCGTTAAGCCGATCCAATCGGATCAATTTAGCGGCAAATGTCAACGGGATTATCCACGCGAGTGTGCGCAAACGCACGCGTAGACGAGAATGCGGGACGCAGCTCTCTCGCGTGCACGAATTGTGAGCATTCTTCCATATATTGGCCCAAATGTGAACGGCAACGAGGGGGAAATGAGCATAAATGAGCATAAACATTCAAGCAATTTCTAACGATAAAAAGACTCTCAAGTAAAAGCAGCGTTAAAGGAAACGTTAAACGCTCATTAGGAAAGAATGCGACGGCGATATGAATATCACTATATAATTCTAAATAACTGCAATAAACTCATCTAGGACACACTGGTCCCTTCGCGCGAACTCACGTTGGGCTCGCGTGATCGAGCACAAAAAGTGAGAACAGCTGAATGATAATGCTCCCTAAATTTTCTCATTAAAAAAAATAGAAATATAATATGCTATTCTATATATAATCTGCAAGATAGATGATGAGTGATATGGAAAAGATTCTGTAAAGTTTTCAATTTAAAACATAACTTTATTCGCCTCGATTACGAAAAAATTAGTTTTATTTTTATTAATTGAGATAATGATTTCTTAGTGACATCCTATGAGTAACGTCTAAAAAATAATATACTTTGAAAAAATGACGCCGGTGGTTTTAAAGCACGATTTGTCGTTAGTATACAGATCGATCGTAATCGATTACGAGAAGAGTATCGACGATTCAATTAATTCGATATTGTATTATCAAAATTTAATTAGTGGGAAATCTGTAACATGAGAAAAGTGTTTTTAGCCGAGCATATAAGCTGGACGCATATTCATAAATAATAAGTTTTCGATTAATATCCATTTTTATTTCCATATTCTTATTATATGCGCAATGAACTAATCACATTCTGCGTTTAAACATTTTCTGTGCATTTCAATTTCAACGATTTGCTATCGATTCGATTGGACTTTGTCATCATACGGATGACCTTTTAATTAACGACTTGTCGCTCGTTTAACGTTTCCTTTAACGCTGCTTTTACTTGAGTCTTTTTATCGTTAGAAATCGCTTGAATATTTACTCGCTACTCGGTTTTACGACTTCACTCGTTTTTGCTACTTGCTACGTTCGCTTTTAAAAGCGAGGAGATTAAAAGTTGTCGATGGACGAGTTGGATGGGACAAATTCCATAAAAGCGTATCCGCGTTGATTAAGTTGCGCAACCGTGTCGATTGCGTCACGCCGACGAAAGCACCGTCGCGCCAATTTCTATAATCGCGCTGTAATTACGCGGAATTCGTTGCGGCGATTAATATCGCTTTAACCGAACGAAAATATTCGGGTCAGGTGAGGAGCGATCGGCGACAACGGGTCCGACGGGTGATACCGACGATTCACGTGAGACTGGCCCCCTCGGCATACCAAGACAGATCATTTCTTCCTCCTTCCTTCTCCCCCGCTCTCCTTTGCTGCCATGTATAAGCACCTGTCCTGACTGAGTGGACGGTATTCTGAGCTTGGGTTCATGCAAGTAAACTTGATGACTCTTTTCTTCTTCAAGTCGAACGTGCGAAAGACGAGTCGCGCGCGCTTATTTTCCTCAAAAATATATTATTCTTCAGCAGTATGATTGTCGTAATTTATAATATTTCTATGAAGTCGTAAGAAAATCTCGATTAGTAAAAATAAAACTAAGTGTGAACATTACTCGATCGCCAACGATAAAATGAAATTTATTTTTAAACAAAGCCTTTAAATATATACATACAATACAGTTATATCTCAATTGAAATTTGAAATTATGACGTATTAAGTTGTAGAATACATATTCTACATACATATTTCTATATTAAAGAGTATTAATTTGTAATAAGAAAATTTACGAAAATTTTTGTATATTATTTAACTTCACGATTAAGATTAAGATTTAAATTGCATCATTATCTGACGATCTAAAACAAATTGGAATTTTTTAAAGTAATTAAAGTAATTAAAGTAATTAAAATAAGATTTATATTTCGTCGTTAAAGAAGTAGTCATTTAATAGCAACGATAATATAATTTATGAAGTTTCTACAAACATCTTTCTCGTACAAGATGCAAATTACCGAAATCCTACGCTTGTTTTGTAAATAATCCCCTTTCTCTCTCTCTATTTTTCTGTTTCTCTCTTTATCTTCTGTCTATCTATCTTATATTTTTATCTCTTTCTCCATTCACCAGTTTCTTCTGGAGGAGCCGAATCCTTATCGTCGTATATACTAAGAATTCCTTGCTGCCACCCACGTGTTCAGAAGATCACTACCGAGAACAGCTACGATCGTCGACCACGTGCGAAAAAAGCCTCGTGAGGGATAGAGAGAAGGGGGGGAAAAAGCGCCCCGTCAAGTTATCCGGCGCGAGGCAGGGGCGAGGAGGAAGATACATTTTTCAGATTATAACCGACCCGTTCTCGATAATGCGAGTACGTCAGTGACGCCGAAAGGGACGACGAACGACTAGGAGCCTGGTAACAGTGCCTGGCATTCCCGAGAGAAATCTTTGAGCATATTTTCACG